CGTCATTACGCGAACATGAACTTTCATCTTCGGGAGCTCTCTTTGAGAAAACCTCGCGCGTCGCTCAAGTTTTCCCGCCCACTGCTCCGTTTTCTCCGGAGTGCCTTAGCTTCACTAAATACACCCTGCGGAAGTGTGTTTACCCTCTCTCCATCAGCGCTCTCCTTGCACTCGCGCTTCTCTTTTTCTCCTCTCGTTCGAAGACCATTTCATCTCTATGACGCGGAGAGGAAGCGAGCCGTTGTACCCGTGCGCCCTCCCATTTTCGAGCCGGGACACGTAAGTGCCCGGGAAATGCTCCATCTGGGATCGCATTCCCCGTTGGAATTTAAAACAGACTCACGGCAAGTTATCCTCCCGTTCTCAATTACCTCTCATCCATTCTCGCCCCTACCTGTCCATCTTCCATTTTATCGCCTCATTTTCCGCGTGACGGACACCTTGTTTCGTCCTACGCGCTTCCTGTTTTCGCGCCCACGATCCGTCATCCTAAGTGCTTATGACCCGGTTGCAGCTATCGCTTTTTAACGATACGGTCGCGGATTTTCGATAGGTGTCATTCGAACCTTTCTTCCGCAGCGCACGTTCTTCCTCCTCCTCTTCCTCCTCCTCCGTGAACTTCGAGTCCATTTATCTTTCTCAGCGAACTCGTCCCTTTGGTTAAATCTCTCAGCGTCGCGCCGAGTATTTCTTACGCATTGTCAGCCGCGCGTGATGGATGGCGGTATCTCGTGCGACCGCTTACTTGCCTGGGGTCGATCATTATGTTTTATGAACTCCAATGCGATCCCAAGTTTGCCGCTAGGGATGCACCTTATCTGTCGCGACGCTAGACTGATTTTACAAACGATTCGCGAGGACAAATGCTCGACGGTGGCGTTATGGATTTATAGCAACGTGCCGTTTACGGCGTCTCCCGTATATGAAGGGAGACGTTAGTATAGTTTAGAACGCGTGGCTTAAACGTAATGCGAGATCATCATCTTTCGGTCCAGGCAACGTGCGATTGCATATCGTAGATCTATCAAAATGCGCTCTTTATCGTGATTCACCGCGAGTTTCGTCGCAAGATTTCCGAATGATTTGATATTCTACAAACGATAGAACTGGTCGCCACCTACTTCTGGCTCCATGCCACACGTTCTAGAAACAAAACGACGCGACGGCACACGTAGGGCAAGTGACAGATGAAATACGGTACGCGAAACATGATATAATACTTTTTCAATAAAAAAGATTTGAAAAAGACAAGTCCATGTACCTGTTATAAGAAAACTGTCTTGTAGAACAATATTACTAATTATTAAAATAATTAAAATAATAATTGTAAGAAATAAAATTATTGTAAAAAATTATTCTACAAAANNAATAAATAATTGCACGGAATACGCACTTCGATAAAGACCTATTGTCACGATACAGTTTCGTGTCATTTATAAAAGTTAATTAATTATTAATTATAATAATAGCGAATTATTTCACGATATACTTGTCGCGGTCGCGCTAAGGAAAGGAATTTGATAATATACGGAGCTTCTCGCACTACTACTTTACTGCTCGAGTGTTGCCGTGCGAATGATAACAAAGCCGCAATATGTAAACAATAGCGCGCTATACGCCGCCAAGACTATACATCGTGTTGTTATTAATTTTTGTCTTGCTGAAATATTTTATGTATTATAAAATATATGTTTAATGTTTCTTTAAAAAGATTAATTATTTATTAAATAATTAATATGTATCACGAGATCTTTCGTTATATTAATTATTCGATCCTGCGATTCATGTTTTACTGCGCGTTCTCAATCCAAATTATAATTATTGTTAGATCGTCGAAAAATCGCACGATAAAGCATCGGACGAAATATATTAGAAAAATAAAATTTATTAGAAAAATAATTATTGTCCGCAACAAAACGATTTATAATTTATAATTTTATTCTCTGTTATTTCGATTCGTACTTAAAACGAATAAATCGTGAGAAATACACACTTCGATAAAAATTTATCGTCACAATATAATTAGGTAATGTTATTAAAGTTAATTAATTATTAATTACGATAATCATAGCGATTTATTGCCTGATACTTGTCACAATCGTATTTATTAGATAAAGAATTCGAGAGAGCGTCTCGCAGCACTACCTTACTACTCGAATGTCGATGCCTGAATGACAACATGCTGAACGTCTGTGATAACAATAACACACTACACGCAGTGAAAGGTTTATAACAAAATAATTTTATAATTTTTTATAATTTTATGCGTACTTGAAACGAATAAATCGTGAGAAATACACACTTCGATAAAAATTTATCGTCACAATATAATTACGTAATATTATTAAAATAAATTGATTATTAATTACGATAATCATAGCGAATTATTGTTTGATACTTATCGCAATCGCATTTATTAGAAAAAAAATTCGACAGAGCGTCTCACAGCATTACCTTACTGCTCGAGTGTCGCCGCCCGAATGACAACACGCTGAACGTTTGTGATAACAATAACACACTACATGCAGTAAAAACTCAAATACCATATGTTATAGTTAATTTGTTGCTCCGCAATATATATACGTTTTTGATATTTTATACATTATTTTAATATAAATTAATATAAATTAATATATATTAACGTTGAATATTCTGTATTTTCAAATTAATATTGATAAATTAAACCATTGTCGCAAATAAAGTCTAACATTGTTCGAAGAACAAAATTTATTGTATTTTGATCAAAAAATTATTTGTGCAAATTAATTTAAAATATAACAATGAAAAAATTTTTTTAAAATTAATTTAATATTATCGTTATGGCAACCATTATCAAAATAGTACTGTTATTAACAAATTTTTCTCTCTCTTTCTCTTATTAGTGAAGTATTTCTCTCAATATATATAATTATAAATAAAAATGTTATATTATAATCGAAAAAATGTTGTGAAAAGAGAGTAATATTAATCTAATAAAAAACCTATTTTATGTGTAAAGCTTTAACTTTAATTTAAAAGCTTTATACATATAATTTATTTAATTATAGTTACAAATTAATATAAGAATATGACATTTCATAATTAATTAAATTTATAATTGTAAGACATTTAACGTTAAAATAATATCTATTATATCAAAAATACTTATGTTAAAGATATGGACACACCGCGATCATCCGATCGAGATGTGGAGAGTGCATCCTAATTGTGACTTATAAATGCACTGATAATATTTCCGACCTGTGTAGGCTATGAAGACATATATGGCGATACCATTGGTGTATGATGTATGATACAAGAGACGATGATGACAAGGATGAGAGATGACAAGGGACAACGATCTCATCTGCCCTTATCGGGCAATCGACCAAACTTTAACCGATTCGGGCCGAGGCAATTGTCGAAGCAGAGCGTGCTTTTATCGAGGATTGTCCAGCAATGTTCAATGAGATTTAACTCAATTCCGTCGGCATCGGAAATACGATTCTCGCTAACAATAACGCGACATCGGGATTTCACGCGATATCACTGAAAACCGACGCACTAGTCAATGTGAATTCAAACGCGCTTGCCACGTACGAGTTATTAGCGACAAATAAAGTCTAACATTGTTCGAAGAACAAAATTTATTGTATTTTGATCAAAAAATTATTTGTGCAAATTAATTTAAAATATAACAATGAAAAAATTTTTTTAAAATTAATTTAATATTATCGTTATGGCAACCATTATCAAAATAGTACTGTTATTAACAAATTTTTCTCTCTCTTTCTCTTATTAGTGAAGTATTTCTCTCAGAAGTTTTAGTTATTTTCGAAAGAATAATTGTTTTGTGTGACTAAGAGAAAATTTTATGTATAGCCTTTACTTCTAAAAGAATAATCTATTTCGTAAACAAATCCTGCATGTATCATATGAGTCATCTTCCACATACAAGAACAAATGCTCTATATATTTCTGCAATTAATATAATTAATTTGTCATGATGCAATGTTTTATAAAACAATTTCATTAGCTCAAATGTATCTTTTACAAAAGTTTTCTCTGTAAATATATATATAATCAATTCGTAATGTTACAAAATATTTGGTATTGTTATATTCTCATATAAATAAATTGATGTTAAATGCAAAATAATGTACGTAATAGAAATTTACATGATAGAAATTACATGATAGAAAAACTTACGTAATAGAAATTACATAATAGAAAATCAAATATCACATTCTATAAAAGCGTTCTTATTGATTTTTATATGTAGAATTTGTTTATTAAATTGATTATTCCTTTTAAAGTAAATTTAAAATATTTATAACCTGACCGTCCGCCTCGCTGTTATTGCGTGTGACTTAGCGTGAAATACTACCGAGTTTCTTGATATGCCAATTACGCTGATTGATATGCCATCATCCTTGTGTTAGTGAAATGCAAAAACATGTTTATAATTAAGAAAAAATTAAATTCAAGATATACTGCAAAGCGTAGAATGCTTTGCTTTGACGATAAACAAACGATTAATCTGATAGATGAGAGCATGATAATATATACATCAGATTAATTAATTTATGATTGTGTATAAATTATAATAAAAAGATAATGCAATTTAAAAAAAAAAATTTGCTCGATTAGTTCATGACTGCAAGTGTTTGTATAAACGTAATGTCATTACAAGCGTTGTTATTTATCAGTAACATGCATAGAAATTAATATGTATGTTGCATTGTAAAATAACCATTATATTTTTATATTTTAATAATTAGATAAACTTTCGGCACAAATATATTTACGATTAATTATTATCTAATGGTAAAATTCAAAATTGTCAAGATGATAATATTTTTATATGCATTTTTCATATGAAAAATACGCGTCCATTATTATTTTAATGAAATCTTATACGAATTACGAGATAGTGTAGCTGTATTTATCGCATTAAGAAACTAATGCGCATGCATTTATTCATGGTTTATGGAAATGTATAACAAACGTGAATATAATACCTCGCTTGCGAAATTGTAGAAGTTTAGGAAACGGCAGACCCAGGATTAATTCCTCTTGTGGCAGTGTGCCCGCAATCGTAGATTGCTTTTATAGATATATGTATACATATATATACATGATGAGCCTGTGGTCCTGGTACCTGGTATCCTTCGGCAAGTTTTTCTACTCTTTTTGTCAGTATTATTAAATATGCATAGGTCGACTCGTATATGTGGTCTATGACAGGCTTGTAATAAATATAAATCGTTACATCAGCGGAAGCGTATAAATATATCTCATTATTATTGTACTTTACACGAATCAGTTTTTTATGAACGTCGTATGCAGATGATATAATTCGACGAGAAAATGCGCGTATCATTCTGCCTATGCATAACATGCAATAAGAAATAATAATTGCTAGTTACATCGATCGTCCGACGTTGCCTTAAAGTCCGACGATGATAGAAAGAAATAAATTTTCCAATTCTTTTTCATTCACATTATGGAAGAAACACGTACAAAACATTTACAAAAAATTTATATATAATTTTAATTAAAATTTCTCTTTCAATTTTAACTATTTTAACTAACTATTTTAATTAACTATTTTTCTAACAATTTTAATTATTATTTTCTTCGAACGAGCATCAACTTCTATGCATGTATGCAGAATTTTTTCTAATAAAAAGAAAGCAGAAATTAAAACCTCCGATGCAGTACGTCGTATATTAGAGCGAGCGAGTTAAAATAAAAAATACGAGTTACACACAAGAGCGGATTACAAGAAATCTCTCTTGATAAGACGGTCCTGACGAGAAACCGCAGCGATCCTTCCAACCTTACGCTAGTACGGTCGTAAGGGATATACGAGCAGGATCTCCGTCGAATGGTCTACGCTACTTTTTACTATCTAAGCTAAACTTTTAAGCTTGAACAGTTACAAATAACGATAGACTTATCCTGGAAAACCGTACGTAAATAAACGAAATTGAAACACGTCAAGCAAATCCGGTCGACATGATATATTGCAATTTTGGATGTATTGTTTGCAAGAAATAGAAGAAAGGTAAATTTTAATATTTTATCTAATATCATTTTTTTGCAAAACGATTTACTCTTTATATAGAATATAAATTATTATATTATATTAATAAAAGACTAAGAGGATATGTAAAATAAATTAATTAATCTATTAATAAATAAATAAATTTATTAATAAATTAATTATTTATTAATCAAAATTGGATTATTTTTCTAATTATTTATTAATAAATTAATAAATAATTAGAAAAATAATCAATAAAGAGACACTCGCTGGGATTTTATATTCTTATTAGGAAAGAATATTCCTTGCGTCAATAATTTATGCAGATGAGATCTCCCTGAGGCATTGAGGTATAAATTAAAATTAAGAATAATGAGGAGTTACGTTCACAGCGTTCGCATTTGATCATGATTCGTACTTGAGGGAGCTGCAATAAAATTGTCGTAATTGTTATCGCGGCTTCTCATTTTCGTCTGCATCAGCGACGAGGCGCATAGATGCGACCCTGGACCACTTTACGGGACCATAAATCTAGGAAGAGAGCCGCCGGTGGAAGACCCTCCGCGGATTAAACGAGTGTGCATGTATACAAACGGCCGTATGTATATGCGTATTCGAGGCGGTTCTCTCAATCTAATCAGTCAGGTTGAGTCGTTAGCCTTGTCAACGAGTTATCTGAATATCGGGTCAAGGTTAGCAGACGTTAATGGTCGAATGTTCGGCTGGCTGATACTTGATGGCTGATAAAGACGACACTTCACTCGAACGAGCGTCGCGTCGCGTCGGCCCTTCTGTCGGTTTGCAATTGAAGTTAGCGGTCACTCAAGAGCTGTTTACGAATCGCCATTTGTCCGAAAATCCACTTGTCTGCCGGAGTCGTAAATAATAGAATTAAAATGCATTTTAAAAGTATTTTATAAATTATGCAAATTGGAACAAACCTCCATCTCTCCGTGTGACGTAATTCCTTATTTTAATGAATAATTAAAATAAACGGATATGATATCGAAGGATATTTAATTTCAGTGGCACCGTGTAAATGGGACGTAATTAGCAACACAGATATTTGGATAGTAATGTCGACCACAGTATGAACGCGATCGGTTAACCCGCATTCGGAATCTCTCCCTGTGATAAGCATTGTTAATGTATCGAAGGATATTTAATTTCAGTGGCACCGTGTAAATGGGACGTAATTAGCAACACAGATATTTGGATAGTAATGTCGAAACCACCACAGTATGAACGCGATCGGTTAACCCGCATTTGGAATCTCTCCCTGTGATAAGCATTGTTAATGCAGACACATTGTAACGATCTATGCCATCAGCAAAAAAAAATAAAATTAATAAAGATAAAATAAAGATTTAAAGATAAAGAGATAAAGTTTAGAACATAGCGAGAATTAAATTTTATTTATTTTTTATTTTAATAAAATTAAAATAAAAGAATTTATATCGTTTGCAATATTTCTCAATAATTTTGACGTAATAACTGACGTAACTCTTGTAAAAACAGCTGAGATTTAATCTCGGTTGTGTAATCTATTTGTAATAAAAATGTTATCGCGAAGTCTGTACTATAAGATTGATTTTTGCCAACGCCAATATAATTAATATACATCGTTAGCTTTTGTTTCTATTATACCAAAAATTCATTTATAGTTTAGCAAAAAAATTTTGTATTTTTTATTAAAATTAAAAAAAAAACATTTAAAAATTGCACGGCACAAAATTTTTAGATTCCAAGAACCATCTAACATAAGAATTATTACAGTGTCTTTTTATTACATCGTATTAAATCTTTTCATTTAGATTACTATCGATAACGAATCTCGCGATTAATTTCTCACGCGTCCTCGGATAAAATTGTATCGAAGCTTTGCACTATTTTTGTCGCGGTGCATTACTCAATTTGATATCTCCGACTTCCGTTCGAGCCGGGTTCCTCTTGAGGCCGTCATTGAGGAAAGAGAGTCCCTGGACATTTTCCCCGCAGAGATCAGCGAGCCAAGGCCCCCGTGGCGGACACCGTGGACACTGGCTCGATCGTCGAAAAAAGGGGCCTAATCAAAGTGAGCGGCCTATAAGAGCGAGCCACGGACAGATGTCTCATTCAGTAGAGTCGGCGAATAAGCCAAGGCGAGCTTGGAACGGTCACACGTGGCATTTATTCGCGGATGTTGACCGGCTGATCCATTACAAAATTCTCGTATTCGAACGCGTTTTATTTGCGATAAACTGTTGGCGAGGAAGCCGTCCGCCTGATAACGGACCGGACTATTTGGAGCATATCGTACACAGCTATATCGCGTGTACAATGCCGTTTGAGAGCGACCCAGCATCAGGAAGAGATATATCCAAGTTGCGGAAATAGACGATTCTCGTGATAGCACCGTTACTTATCGTTAGTGCGGGAAAAGGAAATCGAGGCGAAGCGAGCTATTACCCGTCGTCGAGGATCCGCGAGCCGACTTATAAAGATACGTAAAACGTAAAGCCGACAATCAGTATGTAGATTTCATCATCGTGTGAGTGCTCGCGTTCGTTAAATCCGTAGAAAACGAGGAGCTTTGGAAGCCAATTGATCCTACGTCTGTTAAGGTGGATTATAGTGATAATACCCACAGATTCCAACTCGGCCAGATTTGAAAAGATTCGTATGTGCGTGAAAAAATTGTAAAAGAGTCAAAACTCTTAACTTTGTCGAGAGATTTATTGCGTAACTGTCTCTTTACAGAATATTTTTAAATAATGATACTACACATATGTTGCTTTTAATATGCCACTTTACCAGTATGTAAATTAGATTATTGCCGAGGTATTCGCATATATTGAACTTTGTTCGCGTCATCAACATTCAAAGTCTATTTACTCGAACTATACATTAAGAAGCGTATAGGTATGATGACAGTTACCGAAGGTGACATCGCCTCCGACTTGATCAATTATTCAAAAGACTGTTATCGCTGGAAACGCACGAAGGCTCTTGACTCGTGACTGAAAGTGCGAAGGTTCTCTTTCCGCCTTAACAAATAATTATAATCGATCGACACAGACTTTATAGACATAAGCAATCGTAATCGCTTCGTTTAATTCGGCTTAGTCATCGTGACAAGAATCAATTGCCGCTTATCTCTCGTTCGCATCATTCGTGCTTGCGTAAACTTCGTTACGATACACAAGACGGAATGACGACGAGAATCACGTCTCGTGTTTCGGACAGATGCCTCCCGAAGTAGCGAAAGACTGACAGACGAGACGAGTAGAAGTTTCTGCGAAAAAGTGCTGGCGTGAAATACGATTCGTACACTAGGGTTCAACATCCTCCAGGGAGATGAATGAGTCGATCCGCGGTTAAAGTCGCAACGCCACGTGACTACCATTCTCGATCAAGAGAGCGAAACGTCAGAGGGGAAGTTGGACCAGATCGAAGTAGGTGTGGGGTGAGTGCCTTTTTCTATTTTCTAATAATTGCTCAGACATTCCTCGCGTGATATCACGTTCAATTTTATAAGTTTATAGAACGTGCGTAAAATAAATACTAAAGTAAAATTTATTATTTTCCTGATTTCTTTAACTATCTTTTTTTAATATAAAAAAATTTATATATAAAAAATAATCTTTTTCAGTGAAAAATTACACACGATTAAAAACATGTCAGCATAAAAAGAGACAAGAAAAATATAATTAATTAAGATTTTTATGAGACATTTTTATGAGCAATTTTCAATTCTCTTTAGTATACGAAATATACAATTATATACAAAAAATATAAATAAAATTTTATTTCGATAAAACTATAAATAACGAAATTGAGCCAAGTGTTATTAATTTCATCAAAGCTTTAAAATTATAATTGCACACAACTGTCAGTTAAAAGAGTGATATTTTAACGATACGATAACCACGAGGAAAAAAAAATAATTCTGAGAAAAAAATAATCTCGAGAATATATAGTAAATTTCTGATATATGCGAGTATATTAGATCGTTAGAGACTTGTGAATTTAAGAAGTACTTTTAATAACGATCTATAATCTGGCTAAAAAACTCTGAAAACTGATAAAAAGATCATGAAGTTCCTTTTCTCGGGATAAAGTTGAAAAAAGAAAATTGGAGATGTAAACAAGCAAATAATACATTAATAATTAAA